AAATTTGTTCATGGACAGACAAGGTAACAACTTGTGCAACAGCAGTTATTCCCAGTATAGTACTGTTTAAACAGTATTGCTTTTTTGCACATCCTTGTCAGGGAACTCCATTAATTGCCTGAATGTACAATCACATTAAAGAGTGACTTTATGGTCGTTCAAACTTAAAGTTTGAACTTTTTTTTTTTTGGAAGTGTTTTAAAGTATCTTTTTAGTTGTGACAGCTCTTGATCCAAGGAATATCAGTGTGTATCAGCTACTGTAACATTTGTATTGTTTGAAAATATTAGAGCAAAACAGGCTTTTGAGTCGATCTAGAAGTACTCTTGAAGAATACAGGATTATAACCAAAATGAATACTAAATCAAGGTACATAAATGGCTGTCATCAAATTCTCAGAAATATTTTAATCCAATTAAATCGTATGGAAACTAAAATCAGAATAAGAGAATCAGAATAATTGTGAATCAAAATCAAGATCATCAAGATCAGAAATGCATTAAGAGCTTGTGAATCAACTGGAATTATGAAATCTATATCAACAACATATGAAACATATGAGTGATCGTTTAAAAAATAAAAAATAAACGTACAAAGCCAAAGGTGCCATGACTCTAGGTGGCCCTTAAAAGAGTCTCTGGGGTGTAGTTGGCTCCTGCTGACACAAGAAAAAGAGAGGAAAAGAGGAAACATCAGAGAGATATTGCATATCTCAGGTGTGGGATGCTTGATCATATATATATCAAAACATCTCTTTAATTATTATTATATTAAAATATTTCTGTCAGCTGCAGTTAATCTAATGTCACATACTGTGTCTGATAGTTAAAACATACTTACAAAGCCAAAGATGCTCAGTGCTGTGGCTCCTAAAATAGCCTTTGGGGTGTAGTTAGCTCCTGTTGAAACAAGCAAAAGAGAGAAAAAGAAGAATCATTATTTTTCGTTAGTGATTATTGACTAATCACTATATGTTATGAACATGATAAATCACAGATCTAGAATGACTGCTAGATTGATCACTTACAAAATCAGTTCTTGAATTAATTGATTATAATTTTACTTGAATATATTTTTTTTTCCTCTGGTATAGGCACTGGCGTAAATGTTTCATTAACGAGAGAGAGCGCGTGCGACATATAGGCCTACCCATCTCGCACGCGTGAGAGAGTTTAATTTAATTGATATTGATAATGGTTTACGTTTTAAAAGTAAGAGAAAAGTACTTACCACAGGAAAACTCGCAGCTGACGTCTGGCGGTTCACTCAGAGGGGAAGTCCGTTTTGTGCACACCGGACACAAGCCTCAGTTTATATAACCTCTGCCAGGTTGTTGCGCGGGCTTTGCTTGCGAATAAAATTTACATTTTGTGGGGTGTAAGCAAAGTTTATATATTAAATTTTTTAATCATTTTAAAAATGCATTTATTTCACCACATTTGTGCTTACCCAGACATTATATTGAGAATGCAGATTCATGTTTTTCATCTGCAGAACAATTTACAGTAACACTACTGCTTTTGAGCAAACAGTAAAGTACCGCAAATTCCCATATACAGTAAATTACTGTAAATGGCATTAAAATACCCATAATTCAGTGCATATTACAGTAGTTAACCTTAAAACATATATATGGTAGTTTACTGGGCTTTTTTTGCGGTAAGTAACTGTAAAATTACAGCAAAGTCTAACAGTGTAGCCCAAGAGTCTGTGTTTGAAATATTTCTTCCAACAGTTCTTGTAACTGAGGTGAAGTGCATGGTTGTAGACATTCTCTCTCTGTTTTCTTGCCCCTTAAACTCTCTGTGCTCCCAGATACATCAGCAGTGACTTTAATTGCACTTCAGTTCAACGTAAAGATTTGACAACATAATATGCGCCTATGTCATTGATTTACTACTACTTCTTTTTTTTAAAGAGAGCTTAAAAATACTACAAACAGAACAGTGTAGAAAGGATTCTTTGAGTGCTGAGCTCCGTCGGGTGTTAAAGGGGTCATATGATGCGATTTCAAGTTTTCCTTTCTCTTTGGAGTGTTACAGCTGATTGTGCATAGATAAGATCCCTGATGTTGCAAAGACTAAAGTCTCAAAACCAAAGAGATATTCTTTATCAAAGTTAAGACTCTGTCACGCCCCCCTAAAACGCCTCGTTCTAACATGCAAGGAGGGGGCTTTGTAGAAAACGAAGCGTTTGAGAGAGGCGGGGCATAGAGGACCTACAATAATGTAGTATTTGAAAAATAATGTGTTTTTTGAACATTAAAGCATGTCAACATATTCTGTTACACCAAATACACAAAATAATGATCTTTAAAAAAGCATCATATGACCCCTTTAAATGATTAAATCTGTCCAGTGAGTTGGTCCAAAACAAGTGAGAACTGAAGCAAGAGGGCAGAATATCCCTGTCTCTCTTTCTCTCATCCCTTTTTTTTCATCTTAGACTCATCAGAGAAGAACAAAGCCTCCATTTATGTCCCCCGCCGAGGCACACACTGCTAATGCACCATTATGAGGCACTCGTCTCACCCCACTCACGTCCTTTTCCTGGGCTTTCAGGACTTTGCTGTAGCTCCGAGGACACTTTTTTTTCCTGTCTTTACCTGCACATTGCACCCCGACCCTTGTCTTTTATTTCTCCTGCTAATGTGTTCTCTCACGTTTTGCCCCCCTGCCTCTCACCTCTGCTTCTTCCTGGAGTTTTTGATGTGACTGCACAGGCTGCTGTTTCAATCACGGGAGAGGTTTTACAAATAAGGTAAATGAGTTAAAATTGCACACAGCCTGAAGGTAAGCAGCATGGTCGATGTTTCCAGGCGTGCTCTGACTTTATAAGTGTTCGAGGATGTTTTAAGCAGTGCTGAGGCAGTGCGACCATGCTAATGCTAACGACCTTCAGTCACTGTTACACATATAAATGCTGCATGATGGATGGACACGAAATGGCTTAGTGATTTGAGAAACGTTTAGAATCTGTTAGCTTAACCCTCAGTTGTGCATTCCCATACAGAAATATAGTGCTCCGGCAAACTTCCAGTGATAAATTTGTTCATTTTTCAAATGCAAATGAGCTTTGTGGTATATTGTTGCAACATAATATAACAAGTAAAACAGAATATTCAATGAGGGGGGAAAATGTAGGACAGTGTTTTATCCATTTGGAAATTACTGGATTGTGAAAAGTGGTCTCTTTATTATATTTCTATTTTTATGTTCATATAAATATATTTTAAAAAATTTGATTTTACCCTATATTTAATTACCTGTAGTAAATTTTGTTGCAAAGTGACGCTGAGCTTTAAAAGGTGATACATAAATTAAATATAGTCACATTTTATTAGTTTTATTTCATTTCTAGCAGAACAAATAATATATTTATATATTGCGTTTATATTTCAATGTCTTAAAATGATCAAAAGTCACAGTAAAGACATTCACATTATTACAAAAAATATTTAAAATAAATCAAATAAAAGAATAATGTGACTGAAGATGAGTAATAGCTGCTGAAAGTTCAATATAAGTATAGTAAAATAGAAAAATTCTTTTAAATTGTAATAATATTTCATAATATTAGAGTAATGATCTTTACATGGAAATTTTTAATTTATTTGTGATTCATATCTTGCAGTTCAATTAATCAAGAAGTGGGTCTTGTAATCTGAGCAAAAGTGACGGGAACTGCAACAGACAATGCAGAGTCGCTCTCTTGTTTTGCTGCGGTTTCAATAGTGACCGTTTGCAAAGAGCTTGATTGACAGGCGATCTGACCAATCAGAACGCGGATATCATGTGCCGCCGCTGCTATCCGCCATCTTGGCCGGTCTCCATAGAAATCCATGTTAAAATGGGGTAAAAAAGATTGACTGAATTGAAACTTTTTCAATATAACTAAAATTTCGGGTCTGTATATGCACGTGCGCTCATCTGGAGCTGTATATGCACATGTGCGCTCATCTGTTTTCAGTGCCGCTAACCTCTAGTCGCTTCATGTCATTTTCCCACTCATCAAACCATGACAGGTCCTTTACTGCAAAAAGACGGTCACTGCGACACTGTAAAGTGATGAAACTATGGCGCCATGTGCTTTTTTTTTAAAACCATTTTCATAGGTTTCACGTTATATTGTTGGCTCGGAAAATATGTAAATACGCATGCCAAATAGCTGCAGCTGTATCCCTTCAAGCCTTAACCACAAATCAGACAGGAGAGTAGATTAACTTCGGTGGATTTAAACTTGAAAAATGGTGTGTTCCGCGGTTGAAATAAAATACTTTCTGATGTTTATTCATGTTAATTTCGTGCTTTACGTAAATATGAAAAGACGATCGGTTCACGTGTTTGAACTGAGGCAATACAGTGATCTGTCACGACACATTAAAGAGCCACAAAATTATATTTATTGTTTGAATTTCTTTAAAAATGACAAAATTTGAAATCTGAGAGTCCTGAGATCTTGTTTCATATCAGAAGTAACGTTGTCAGTTTCCTCTTTGCTCTGCGATGTATTTTTCACTGCATGAGAACATGAAGTGTAGTATGAGAGCGGCATTGTTTGTCGGGGATAGCAACAGTAACTAAGGAGGGCAGGTCTTTGCGAACGGTCAATTGACATTTCTTTTTTCATTATGATATGATGCATCACAACATATTAAATTGAATCATAACGTATCATTATGGGTACAGATATCCCTGACATCCTTGTTTTCATTTGCGTCAAATTAAACAAGTAATCTACTCTGACTAAGGTTCATAGAGGCTGCTTCCTCTCAGGTTACTTGACAACTCGCTGCTTGATAAATCGAGTTCTCCATGTTACATTAGTGCAGAGCCATTTCTCACCTCCCAGGGCATTAAAAACGGCCCTCACCCTCAGGCTAAAGTGCTCCCTCACCAAACAGAGCTTCAGCGCCCACTTTTAACCTGCCAAGTGTGTGAGATACACACAGCCTCCGTGTCTCTCACAGCGTTCTTTATCTCTCCCGTGGTGGGAAAGGTACTCGGCAGAAGAGCGTGCTGATAATTTCAACCACCATGACTGAAGGAATTTGTTTCACTGAGTTTCTGTCCTCAAGTTTGCTGCTTCAATCTCGAAGGCATTGTCAGGCGGTTCAGTTAACTGCCTCGTTTATGCTTGAAAGCGAATGGGAGCACATGTAAAAGCGATTACTAATTTACAACATCTGAAAAATTGAGGATGCGACTGTCGAGTTTGCTTTTATCGCCTCCACGCCATTGGTCAGTTGTCGAACATGCTTGCACTTCAGCGACAACAGCATTCACACGGGGAAGGCACTCGTGATGCTTTTTGATTTGCCGTGTGGCGCCCATCAATTTATCAGTGCCGGGTGTGATTCCGTATTCACGAGGAGATTGCTTTGGATATTCCAATAACAGCGAAGGAAATGTCAGCCGCTTCTTCCTCGTCATCTCTGCAGGCATCACTTTGTACCCTTATCGCAGATTGATGGGCAAACAGCCTCTCCTCTCAGTGTTGTCAATCAGAAGAAACTATACAGATTCGTCACCACAGTCACGCAGCTGGACTCCGTGTCTGCACACAAATGTCAGTAGTCAGTCTTCTGTGTTTTATCAAAGTCATAGTGTGGCCCTCAAGGGACCAAGATGGCAGGGTGTTTGTGCCCCCTAGAGGAACCTGTTGGCATGACAAAATTGTTGCCATATCAAAATATGCTGTACTATAGGGCCCTATGAAATCAGTTTTATTTTTCCAAAATTTTGTTTTTCTGGAGTCCATTTTAATGGTTAAATTAAATTGTATTAATCAAACGCATGTCTAATTAATTAAAATCATGAAACTCATACAATTTAACATCAGTTTATTAAAAGTCTTACAAAAACAACATGTTTAGGGCCCTATGAAATGTTTTATTTTTTTCTAACCTTCTGTTTTATTTTGATCAAATTCGGTTTTAGCATGTCTAATTATTTGAATGCGTAAAAACAATTTAATTTATTACAATTTATTTTTACAATACCCTTTTGATCATTTTAATTAATGAAAATTACACTAACTTTATTTTTTGGGAAACAAAAGGGGATTTACTATTAAAATTAAAACATGGAAGAAATATTGTGTGATTCCTTAAAAAAATAAAGTTTTAATAATTATAGCAGTAATAGTAGTATTCTACTGAACTATAGTAATATATTTCTGGCACAATATCTTCAAGTTAAACCAAGCTTTTATTTTGACGGGTTGCCATAAAGAACTTTACATTTCTGTGTGTATATGAAATGGCGATGGTTTTTCTCAAATGAAACCGTAAAATGTGCAATTCTGGAGATTTTGTTCATGTGTTTATGTCCTCATTTAGTGAGATGGCAGACACTGAAAACACTGAGCATCATGTGCGCTTCAGTACGTGTGTAGTAAAAGAAACCGCGCATCTGCGCCATTCATTCACACAGAGACACGCATATTTTTGTGGCTTAATATTCACAGACACTAGTCCATTTTGCGTTTTGATTTAAGTGTAATAACCTACTGTTGATTAATTAATCTAAACTTTGACAAATTCCGTGACATTCCGTGTTATACAGTAAATTCCGTTTTCATGACTGGATTCCACAATTCTGTCATAGGGCCCTACTATTCTGCTGATTCTCTTGAATTTTTTCCAATAGGCAAGGTTAAACGTGTAAAAAAAAACATGTTAGATTCAATTCAAGTGAAGGAAGAGACGTTTGGAGAATTCACAAATCCAATCAAACCCAGAATCACCATCACCATCCCTCCTTATTAATTTTTAATGTCAATCTCCAGTTCCTACGGTTCCCTAAATGCCTATTAGATAGGAGCGGTGTAAATTCGAATGGCTTGAACTTTAGATTTCGCTATCTGTGCTGTATATAAGCCGAGACATCAGAGAAAGGGTTTTCACGTCACTGGGTTTGAGATCTAAGCAGCCAGTCCTATGTTTCTGGATGTGGTGTAGCGCTCTCTTCCCCCAGAGGTCTAGGAAGGAAGAACCTTCAAAGCTTTTGCAGTCTTCACATCCATTCCTTCAACTTTGCTCTATTTACGTACCCCATATGGTCCAGACCAGCGAGTAGAGTCAAGGCAGACCAGACATGTACACATATTGTCATTCAGCGGTTGGCGAGGCCGCACATAGTCAACACAATCGCCCTCCTCTAATGGCGGAAGGGAACTTATTTTGCGGACCTGTCAATGTAGAGGTTCAATAAACAAGTGTCTTAAAGGCTTTCAGATGGCTCGAATCTGCTTTTCAGATGGACTTTGACAGAAACGGTCATCAGGAGATGACTGGAAAATGCACTGAGCACTCAGCGAAATAATGTTTACTGGCTGACAGGCGCATGCTGTGTGGAAGGCTGTGTAAATATTTAGCTGAAGAAGTGAAATAGAATGAGAGGGAGAGGGTGAGTGTAGAAAGCTGAGATGATTCATTCAGACAGGTCTTTCCCTGTGTCTTTCTCACTCTCAATCGTATCACTCACTTCCTTTTTTTTGTATATTTTCTTCTTGCAGTTCTTCATTGTCTTGCTGATTATTCTGCTGGCTGAGCTGATTTTGCTCATTCTTTTCTTCGTCTACTCTGATAAGGTAAGCCTGTTCACCAGTTTTATACTGTGCAAATGATTTGACTGTATTTCCATACAAATCCCACTATCTAATCTCTAATTAGTGGCAGATTCTTCGGCTTTGATTTTGCCTGGCGGATGGGAAAATCCCATCAAATTGCACCTTATCCTAACCAGGCATGACGTAAATCAACAAACGATTGAAATCTGTTAGCAAATGAGTTGCAGAAGATTTTAGATTGTGTTGTATAGCCACGCCCACATGAAATCTCATTAGTCCAGAATCCTCATAGCTGTGTATTTAAACATCAGTTATTGATTCGGTAATGTATTTTCATTGTAGTGTATTCCCATGTATTCTTACATAACAAAAAAGATCCACCTTGAGCAAACATATACATTTTTTATGCATATTTTGTTGTTTCTGTCAACCATTTTTTGTAATATCCCCATAAAATTAGCATAAAACTATTTCGATGGAAATGCTCATCCCATTTCCCAAGCTTAATCAGGTCATCGAGTTCTTTAAAGAACAGCCGCCTCTCTTGTCTTGAGCAGCGCAGGTTAAGAGTTCATCACCAAAGGTCAGAGGTCACCCCACACAACAAGGCCTAATTCCGGCCAGTTGTCACCAAGTAATTGGCACTGAGCTCTTTCTCGGTCAATCCTTCCACCTGCCTCAACATTCAGGCTCTTTCTCATGGCCTTCGGGGCAGCGCACACACACACACAACTGGAAGCGATACTTTGCCAACTGGAATGTCTAAAACAGGGCAGTCTGACCTTTTGACACATTGCAGATCCTGGTGGATTACTACCCACCCTGAACACGCAGAGGTCCTGTTTCCTCTTTGATGAAGTCGTGAGTGTCACCAAACAGATGCTTCAGAGTGTGCACTGCACAGTCTCCTTTTCAAGGGCGCTTACCAAATGTACGGCTGGATGCTAGGAGGTGTTAAATCCCATCAAGGATTTCTGGGTGGTTCATTATTCACTCCGTTTGCCACGCTCTCTGTGGAAGCTAAAGTAATTCACTTACCCACAATCCATTTAGAGATTAGGATCTGCCTATCTCCAAGGTACGAGAACTGCCTAGTTGTCTTATCGGAGCGTGTAACTCACACTCAAGCGTGGACTGCAAACTGAGGCTGCGTTTTGGTGGCCACATTTTTTCAAGCGTAAGACTCGCTTGCTCTTGTCTGTATAAGTTTGTTTCTGCAGACACAAACTTTTTTCCATTGTGTGCTATATTGTGTGCAGACTCAAGGTTGTATCTTCATATAATGAAAGCTAGGCTGAAAGCAGTGTACCTATCATGTATTAGTCTTTAAAGACCACTCTGAGACCCCCAGCCATGTATTGATGTTGTTCGTACTACCGATATAAGATACCTATGTGACCTTTAACACAACGTGATGAGAGAGATATTTCAGAGAGAAGCGAGGGAAGATGAGATATAGAGATTTGTATCAACCACACAAAGCTGTGAGCTAGTCTCTTTCATTTCTCTACCGCATGAACTGGGCGGCAGGGGTACAGCCGTCACTCAAAACCTGCCGCTCCATCCGCACAGAATGGCGTGAGCCATCAGAGGAATCTTTAATTGACTCCATTATTTGATCTCCAAATCAGAAGGCATTCATTATCACATCTGAGGGAAAAAAGTCACACTGGCAGTGTATGAAAGCACACGTTTTCTGTACAAAAAACAAAGTTAAAGCCAAGCATTTTGCTCCGATAGTAATGGGCAGGATATTATAGAGCCAGAAAAATGTTGAATTAGAATTTTGTAAAATTTTTGACGTGACATTTAATAATTACAAATTTTTGAATGCGGAATTTTGAATTTACTATGTCTTGACAACTTGAGGCTGTAATTTTATAAGTGAGGATGCATTAAATTGACCACAAATGACAGCAAGACTTTTACATTCTTACAAGAAATGTTATTTTAAATAAATATTCATCAAAAAATCCTGAAAAAAGTAACACCGTTTCCACTAACATTTTAATCAGCACAAGCATTTTAAACTGTGATGATGATAAGAAATGTTTCTTGAGCACAAAATCAGCATATTATAATGATTTCTGGGTCATGTGACACTGAAGATTGGAGTAATACTTGCATGTATAAATTAATACTATGTATTTAATATCAATATGCCACAAAAAAACTAATTTGTTAAATGTCAAATGTACAAAATTAAAATCTATTTGTCATTGTTATAGCTTCATAATGTGAGACCTGTAGTTTCAGTTTTAATGTTTTGTGCCTTCCTCAATCTTTAACTCAGCAAGATGCTTCACTCCTGCAGATAAGTTGGCGAAACAGAGGTATAGTGGGTCTCCACCTCACTGAGCGTACATGAACGCTGTGGATTAAAGCACACACGTGGGGCCTGCAGTGACCCACCATCTGACTGCAGCAGGTGGCGAAGGCTAGGCACCAGATTAGAGCATCCGTCTTTACGCTCATGACCTCATTCCTGCGCGTGTGCCGCAGAACGGCGGCCAAATGAAGCCATATTAGCTGGTTTGAAAAGGGGGAAGCACAGTAGCGTGATTTTTCGGATAGGCTTACAGAGACCGATGAAGAGCATTACAGCGCACTTTCACCTCCTCAGCTGTGGCTACGGTTTCATCCGTAGATGACTCAGAGTTTTTAGCCTCTAATGTTGTGCCATTACATGGGCAAAAGCGACACAATTAGGGATGCTCTGAAAATGAGTAGCGACCCACGTGTGCAGGGAATGGATTGAGAGTGTCTTTGATACCAGGTAAAACTCCAAGTCCATTTTAAAGGTCCCCAAACTCATATCATAATTTAGTTGAACAAAACACTGGTCTTCATTGTATTTCCTGTTATTTTCAATTTACAAGGTGATTCTGGGAGAGTAAGGCTTGTGATCTCATGTGGCAGCATTATCGCGGTTGCTTGTTTGCTTGCTGATTTTAGCTCAGAATTAAACCAATTTACTCGCACTAAACAAATCAACAACGAATGTGCCAGTGTTAAAATGATTTACGTCAGGCTTGACTATATAAACAGTCATTTTCCACTTCATGAGTTTAAAGCAGCAAAAGTGTCTTGTAAACCACCTGAACAGGTGAGGCGGTCAGCCAGGGTTTTGAGGACTTCGGGCCAGGTTTCAAAGAACCTGACAGCGTGACAGTAGGACCCACGCTGTGCGTATCTTGCCAGCTCACAGCAAGGCCAGACTTTCCCTTGCTGATCAAGAGTCTGGCCCATCATCTGGGCTGGAAATTACCATCCCATGACAGGCACTTATGTCGGGCGGCTCTTACATGCGCTAATGGAACATTATTTCCAATGTGGAAATAGTTGTTAAAGAGATAGTTCATTCTAAAATGAAAATTCAGCCACTAGCTGTGTTTCCATTACCCTTCAAATTGCGCAAATTGAAATCGCGAATTGACAATTCGCCCAATGGAAACGCATCAATTTTGCAAAAACTAATATATCGCAAAAACGTTTTACGCTTGCATGAGATGGTTTTTCAGGCAATTCGAAAAAGGAATATTTCGCAAAACTGCAATGTGAACTTTTTCGCATGTACAAGTCACATGATCATTCTTTAATGTTTTATGACCTCCAAGAAACACCTCATACGTGGCTGCTCTCAAGCATAAAGGGCTTTCCTTGCCATTATTGCTTGGATAACCCCTTATTTACACTGCACATGTCTGCGGCACATTACGTCTACAATGTGGCTAACCGGAGCTGATCGCAGCCACTCTAGTCAATGCTTGCGTTTATACCAGCCGTGCTGCGACATGTTTCAGAAGCGGCTCTCCGCGCTCGTTCTCATATATGCCAACATCACCTTCAATTAAAAATAATGGCTAGTGTGGGGACTGCGATACAAGTAAACCTACCAACATCTGTCGTCATGACTTATCGCGAGAGGAAAAAATTACGTTTTAGTCGCATAACATGGGTGAATCGAAACGCCATCTTTTTGCAATCGTTTTTTTTCGACATTTATAAAATATCTCAAAAGATTTCCATGAATCTGTAATGGAAACACACATACTAACTCAGCCTCATGTTGTTACAAACCCATATTACAATTTTTTTCTTCCAGCATAGAGGAATTTTAAATGATGTATTGGTCTTTGTTTTCATGTAAAATTCATATAAATGAGCGTGCAAAAGGATATGAAAATAGCACAAGTTGTCTATATGCACACTTTGTCAAGTCTTCTGAAGTCAGTTTAAGCTATTAGCTGATAATCTTCCCACCATATGGCTGTTAACTGTTACTACAAGAAAATTTGAGTTTGATTAAAAAACAAATCAGTCAGATCTGTTTTGTGTACTGGATTGACTGATTCATTGAAATGATCCAACTCACTATTCTCATGAACTTATGAATTCCTATTAGGAGAGCTAAGCAATGAAAAACAGCTTAATTTTGGTTTGTTCATCACATCAAGATTTTGTATGACTTCAGAAGACTATATTGTCATAGGGGACCAGTTTTGTTTTTTGACATTTTGAAGCTTGACAGCCCTCGTACACTTTTAAATAGAATTGAAAAGAGTGTCCAAAAAGCTCCTTCAAGGAGAGCTAACCAATGAATAATAACTTAATTGTGGTCTGTTCTTTGATGTTGAAAAGAGTGGCCAGATTTGACCTTTTGAGTTTCATTGAAAAAACCATGTAGTTGAGAAACGACTTGAGCAAATAAACAAAAACCTTTTCCTTTTTAAATTGAATTATCCCTTTTAAGTTAGGATTTAAGGGTGTGTGTTTACAGACTGTAAATTGCTCAAAACATTTTTGTTGGCCTAGTGGAGGTGATGGACGAATCTTCTGTCTGACCTCATCTTCCTCTACTCTCTTTAGTAAACAGCAGGCTTTCCTCAACACACACATTGTGCTGACACATCTCCAGAAACCCAAGCCTCCAGGGCAGCAATATGACAAACCTGTCCACAATCTGGAGACTCAAACACACACAAGACTTGAAGAAAAGCACAGTTTCCTCTCTACATCAC